TTCTCCAATTCCAATCGTTCGTGGACGACGCGTTGGTAATAGTTTTTGATCGATCAAACCACCTGTTCGCGTTTTTATCAAGTATAAGTAAAAAATATTATAATACCTACATCGATCGCAGCCATACATTCGTTATCGGTCGCGCTGAGACATTCTCGTCTAGAAAGTGCACACGACGCGATAAAGACCATACGGTCGAGACCTAATTCCGCGTCGCACAGACAGACGTACGCTCTGTAGCTTGTCCGTYAAAGTTTTCGAGTGTAGTCAACCTGGTTATTTTATTATTGTCGACTGCAAGGGCGACGCAGTGTGGTGTTCGAAACTATCGATTAAGTCGTAAGTCGTCATCTGCAGTTAGTTCGATGGTCAGTTTAGACACACAGTGTATTAAAATATATAATAATATACATAATATAATATTCTATGTAACTATAGTGGCTAGTGATGCCTATATACARTAGTTTTAATAAGTCATATTAGTTTTTTTCATAGTTTATAATATACATCTACGTTTTCTGCGTAGTTAATTATTATACTATATATATGACATAGGTATATTATCTTATATATACCTGGGCTCAGAGACCGCATAGAATCAATCATGAATTTATATTGTTAAAAAAATATGAATCATGAATCGTATACCTATTACGTAAACCGAAGTATACCCAACACACATAATGGTCATGCCTGTTACATTCTAATAAATAGTATGTGTTTAAAAATTACTTTTCATCATTTATTATATATACAGTTTAACGCTGTGTTTATACGCCCATTGGTTGTCGTAATTAACTGCATCATTTCTACTCGGCGTGTCCGGGGTGAAATGGTTGTTTTTTTCTTCTTATTTTCGAATTGAAATATATAACAATAACACTATTATAAGTCGATAATATTTTAGTCGAGTGGCGTCATTAAAAACATGTCACGTTGACAATTATTGCATTGAAATTACTTTTTTTCAGCAGCTTCAAAAACGTCTGTGTTTGTTCAGCACRTGGACCCATAAATAATTTTGACTTTGCTGTTAAAATAACGTATAATATTATGAGGTACACACTCCACATGTTATATTATATCTCACCTAAACTCTGCGTGTATACGTGATGATAATGAACACACATTTGTATATATTGTTATCAACGCAGCGTTATTATGAACCAGTGAAAGTGTATATGCACAGTTGAAAATCCGGCGACAATGTAACGTTGCACAATAAACCGTTTTCTATAATATACGTATAATACTTGTATGTAATATTATGTGTGTTCCATTATAGGAGTTTGGCGGGTACGTGTTATTATTATTATTCGGTCATCATAAAAATATGTTTGTGCGACCGATCTTCATTGCGACGCGCTAGACACAGCTATTATGTTGTAGCTAATATAATATATACATATATATATAATATGTGAGCGCTATGTAACCAAGTATTTTCGTTAGCGATTGTTTCCATTTTATAATAACATATAGGTACGGTGTTTAAAAAAAAAAAAACACTTGATTTGTGATTATATATTATAAAGTATATATACATATTATTTATATAGGTATGAAGCAATTATATTATTTCCTCAATAATAATACTTGTTTGAATAACTGTTATGCGTACTTTATGTACGCCCGCCGACGATTCTGCATTTCTACCTAATAACATATACGCGTTAACGTATATTATTTTATTGTACTATAATAGGGAGCGATATCAATCTGCGACACGGTCGGTTCGGTTCTTCGAGGTGCTAATAACATAATKATGTATTTATAATAATATAGGTATGCTTGCTAGTCGAATAGAAAGTCGAACCGATATATAAAAGTCAACTTTCAACCAAAGACTAAAAGTGTTTTTTATCGCGCACTTGTCCCAGCTATTGTTATACATATATTTATGATAATATGTAACCATACTGCATGCAAGGATACTGTTCGGTCGTCGCTGCAAAAACAACAGATTATTCATATAATTCATAATTATACACTGTATGAGCGTGACGAAGGGGTGGTTTGGGATTCTAACCACCTCCAAATTGGCATTTTTAATTTTTTAAACTTATATTTTTTATAACATAAAAATCATATATTTTATTTAAAAAACTAAAACCACTTGAAAAACAAAATCCTTATTGATACGCCTCTGTTATATTATGCAGTAAAATAAAATGAAAAACGAGTTAAATTTTAACTTCAGCATTAKTAGGTTCAATGATGTACGCATCATATACAATGTCTATAAATTAGAAGAATTCTTATTTTATCCTAAACCTGAGCCATAAAGTGTTTGTTGCTTATAGTTTCTCTCATGTGCATTTTCTCTTGTATTTGCAGTTATTAAGTGTCGTTTACTTATAAGTAAACGGCATGGATAAAGTAATGGCGTTGCTGCACGTGTATACGTCTTTACGACGGCGTTGGGATGTACTTAAAAACAAATTCAACCTTGACACATGATGAGGTGAAAAATAAATTTGTCGCGTTCGATCGTTTTATGGCTCTGAAGCGCGTTTGTACCGACACCGCGGAGGTTATAAATCGCGTCGATATGTCCTCTCAATCGTGTCTGCAGTGCGGATAAATGATTTCGTGTTATTATTATAATAATACTCGTATAATATATTATGTATTATGCTCGTTTTCCATGTGGTGCGTTTGTGTCGGAGGCAAAATGATACACTAGATTAATATATATATATCAAAGATTTCGTTCCGCTGGTAAAACGGGGTTAACGCGTGACGAAACGACGACGAGTAGTTACCTCTAGTACAAATATATATACTCCGACGTGAGAAAAAGTCCATATTTCAACTTTATACCGCTGACAATATAAGGTGTATTCGTATATACGCCACATCTTAGGTATGTATATATTATGATGACACGTATCTCCTATACATATATAAGCAATAGGAATTTTCTTGAGAATCGTTCGTTGATATACCGTTTCAATGTCGTGAGCAGAAAAATAAAAATCACATTTGCGATAACGAAATAATATACAAACTACGTCTTCTCGACAAACGGTGGCAGTTATCACGGCATATTCGTAATATAGGTACATATTTATTATATATTCTACTACTATTATGAAGTATATATATATGTCACTACGATCGTCTTTGGCGATCACACAATCATGCAGTGCACTATTATTAGTGCCCAAAATTTTTTATTTTATTTTTTTAGTGTAAAAGTGCAAACCGTACAGGTCAGTGACATATTATATGCTTGAGTTACAGATAAATATAAGTTTAAGTTTTAGTCATCACTGTTAACTCTTTCTCCATCGTATAAAACCTAACTACTGTCACTGCTGCAGTGCGTTGTACATTATTGTTTGATCCATTCGAYTTACAAAATATGATACTACATCTAACGTTACTGTTTATGTGACGGAATTTAAAACTCGGTAAATAATTTTGTTTATATTTTACACGCGTTACGTTTCGGTGTAAACTTTGCGCCTGGGGTTTTTCCAAAAGTGACATATATAATATATTTGATGGAGTGGTCAACTTTTATCTTCGTCRTGCGCACTCACATCCTGTTCCTATATGTATWACATTACTTATTGTATCGCAGTAGTCTACATATATATGTATAGTGTATACGTATATTAGTAGGATGTGCGTAAAGCGGCCTTGATTGGCGCCATCGGCGCGGCTATACGTGTCGCAATGCCGCGGCCGTTTCGCCGCACTCGTTAAAAGAAATTTCGCAAATTCCTATTTATTAAGTTTTTTTTTCTATTATCATTATATGGTCTCCGCAATCGTATTACATAGGATGTTTCGAAAGACTGCAGGACGAGTAGGAAGGCGAAGAAACTGTTTATGTATATATATATATAATCAGTAGTATATACGCACTTCCGATGAAGTCGGAGATACTCTCGCGCGCGTGTGGCGTTTCTTTGTACTCATACGAGTTTCCCATTTTGAACCATTGCTTCGTTTTATCTGCAGCAGAATATCTGCCTGATTAACTTCGTGAAATAACGTCTCGGTGGCGATATATAAGGGTACATGTCTATATGGTACGCAGTCGGATTATGTCTGAATTGCTGGGAAAATCGTCGAATGTCGTACGGTTCGTAATGATGGATAGTATCGTACAATTTTTGTATACGTTTCTGAGGTGTAGGTTAGAGTGACCCTGCTAGGCGCGTCCGATGTTTATAATCGAAACGTCCAATTTAAATTCGCACGCGTTTCTCCAGCAATCGTCATTGTCTTAAAAGGTGTGTGTGCCACATTATTCTAAATGATGGCCGCGGCCCCTTCATTATACGTCTCACAAAAACTTCCTGTCGTCGCGACTATAATATACAATATATATATATATATTTCAATATAATATATAACTATAGATACCTCTCGTCCGAATCGCGTTGTCGTTGTGACTTGTGCAAATCGCTCGCCACCGTACCTGTATAATAATATATTATACGGTTTATATTATTATTTCAAAGGCAAGCMATAATGACGAAATCGACGTCCGGTCGCGGCGCCCGATAATCTTTGGGGCGTGAACGTTCGGTATAATATATACTTGTAACTATATTAAATACGTATCGGGTGTAACATCATTATGCATTATTATAATGATAAAAATTCTGCAGATTATCACCGTTGTGTTTCGCACTGGTGACGAAATGCGCAATAACCGAAAACTATAAGTATCTAYCTATAACTATAATAATGGTATAATATGCTGCAGTGTTTCGCGGATTTTGGATTTTTAATTAATAGCTTAGAGAAAAGTTAGATGCGCATTGTTATTATATTATTCATATACGGCATAATATATATCAACCTACTATGTATAAGTGTATAACAGTGCAGTACCTACGCGTTATTGTGAACCTTACGTTTTTCATATTTTATGCGTTGCATATCATTGTAATATTTACCGTTATCGTGTTATGCGATTATGTAAAATAATATATTATGAATACTGTAAACTAACGTTCTTGGATTTTTTTTTGTCTCAGGGGCAAATATGCGACGGTCAGAAGRTGTCGAGACAAACAGACCGGTAAACACTACGCGGCAAAGTTCCTGCGGAAACGTCGGCGGAACGCCGACCTGCGACCCGAAATCCTACACGAGGTGGCCGTGCTGGAAGCATGCACATACAACAGCCGCATCGTCAACCTCTACAAAGTGTTCGAAACCAGTACTGAAATGATATTGTTAYTAGAACTGTGAGTACAAAAGTTAATATGATATATAACATACGACATTATGACATTATTATATTTGTTCCTTATACATTATTACCTTTAATGGTCGCAATAGATCATTGAATATAATACATGATTKTATTTTACCTACAAAAATAAGTCTCAACACGCATGGCCCATCATCCAACGTATTATTTTATAATACATAAATTATTGTTTTAATTGTTAATAATTTTTAAACGTACGACGTACGATTTTTCTTACAAACGTGTTGGAATACTTTTTTAATTATACTTATTGTATGTTGTATGCTGTGTATTTGATGTGTGTTGTGTGCATACCTACATAGTATATTATGCATATTATATATTTTTTAAATAGGTCTAAAAAGATTGGTCGACATCTAAAAAACTGACTGTACCTATATATAATATTGTGTGGTTCGAGTAAATAATGGTTAAAATTGTTTTTTTACGATATTTCTAGTGAAAATACGAACGAACTTGTCCAATATTCTCAACAAAACCACTAATAAATTAGGTGTAATATAGAATATACTTTAATGCTATACGTGTAACGCTTGTAATGAAAATGTTTGTGATATATGTTACTATTAAGTATTACGGATAACTTTATTTTTGCTATAAACCAAGGAACATTAAAAATATACGTAGTTAATTATAGTTAGAACATACTCGTGAGCTTAGCACATATATTGTTCCYGGAATTTTATATCCGAATGGCATCGTGAATTATTATTCATAATATTATCTTTGTTGTTAACAGTTTTTATCGTTTGTTTTTTAGTGCACCTGGTGGTGAGCTACAAATGGTTTTGGATAAGGACGAAGTGCCGTCTGAACCAGAGGTGGCCCGACTCATGCGACAGATACTCGACGGGTTACACTATTTGCATACTATAAATGTCGCGCATCTAGACATCAAGGTAAGGGCAATAAAAAAAAATATAACTAAACGACGAAATCAATTTCYCGGAAYGTTTTATTTTAATAATAGTACATATATTAAACCGATATATACATATATTTAACCATTATAAATGTTCTTCCTGTATGACCTCCCATAATATAATTGGTGGTAAAATACTAAAATCGTTATTATTAAAATGAATCGTACATAGGTTTACTACTGATACGTTGTTTATGCTTTTGGGTTTTTTTTATTTCACTATAATTTAATCATTAAACCACAGGATCCGTTAAACTTAGAACTGACGAACGGTTGTAAAACTCTAGTGCCGCCACCGGACGTCTTGTCAGTTGATAAATAATATTATTATTCCTCGCCCCACTCTTTTGTCTGCATTCGTGAAATATTCTTATTACAATATACGTGTGGGACTGGTGCAGTGTATGGTGATGAATGAGGTTGTTGAAATGCGTATTGTGTGTGCATGTGTGTGTGTGTGTGCAGATGACATTCATAAACCTCGCAGCTAGAGACAATGTGGCGTTTTAAATAATATGTATTTATACATAATATAATAACTCGATTTTTGACTGTAAAAATTATTACCGGAAACGGATAAAAAACTCGTCGTTATTCGAAAAGTCGAATAATCTCACGCGTACAAATAACTGCATTTTATGTTTATAAGTTATAAGTATCGAAAAACAAATGCGAAAATGTGTGTATAAGGTATAGAATTTGTAATTGTTATTGTATTTTGCACGACTTTACTTTTTGTTTTCATAATTATTATAATAATAGTATCGTGCCTATATGATTCGTATGGGAAACTATTCGTATCATATTGCTTTTCAAATGAACACAACAAATCAATTAGTATTTCCTGGGAAATATATATCGAAAGAATACTCATAATTTTAATAGTCATTAATTATAGACGTTTATGTTCCCAAGACCATTATCCTCTAATTAGCGTGTCTGACTGACAAAAAGTTTTAAACTTCTATATGTTCTATAGTTTTGTAATCTCCTATCCGCCGATTAATGGGTATTAAATAGGACTTTAATTTATGGTGTTTTTAATCGTTCGAATACCGTAATAAATAATATATTATGTTATATGCATTAATAGTATAGTACAATAATGTACTCATTTTTTAGTTATTTTCTTTTACTTTATTGCATGCATACATAATTATCCTCCTACTATACTATACACAAAGGGAATCGTAGTTTAACCTCCGTAGTGCAGCTGGTTAGGTCGACGTTTAAGTTGTCAAGTCGCGTTAGTCGCCCGTTATTTGTTTTGTTAATTAACCGCACGCGAGATATCTACGACACCATAAATTAATTACCGACGTACGTACAGCGTCATTATAATTTATATATAATACTATTATTATATAGTCGCGCATATTACACTTAAAAAATCATTGGCTGATGTGTGTTTGCCGATGACAGAAAATTATTCTCGTTCGCACACTATATAAATGTAATGGCATATAAGAAAGATGTATTGGTTTTTATTCTCTTCGAATAAGACAGGTGATTTTTCGGGACGTTCGACGAAAATGTACGGCGTAAACGAGGTAAAATTATAGGTATACGGAATAAATTAAATTCCAATTCATTACATAATTTCAGCCTTCTGTGGCTGTACTTATAGTGTATTATTATATTATACTTGTACAAGGGCATGTTTTGGTATACAAAATCAGTCATAGRCMGGCGCGACGTATTTCTCCTGTTCCTTCCCTATAATAGCATATACGTATTGTATACCTGGTAGCAGCACCAGTGAGAACTGTGGCAGGATATGAGCTCGGTCCTGCGATGCAGCTATGTTAATGTAATAATTTAATGTGCGGGCAAGTGATTGGTATAAAAGCATTGTTGTCGGGGTTAGAATTTATATACGCGCGACGATGGAAGTACTGCCATTAAATGACGCATCCTGGTTCTCATGTTTTAATATTCACGCTCCGATGGGTTTTTTCGTCCGAGAAAGCAATTAAAACAAAAACTCGAACGTTGACTACAGGTTTGCACTGCAGTGTGTCTGGAATTCGGACTAGATCGCTAGAAAACAGTAGTGTCACTACTATAATACAGCAATATAATATTATAAAGTCGGTATAACGGCGTCTCCGCCTTATATGTAAACTTTCCCAGATGTTGTCGCACCGTTTCTAAAAATATGGAAGTATTCGAGTACAGCCAGATATCATAACACACCGTCGAAATCTTGACGTTTCGGGTTTCAACATGTTTAAATCTCGACTCRAGTGGTTCAAATGCTTATCGGACAACGCTATACGCGATATGTGGTTTATCTTCATTGATATAGCGTTTTTTCTAGTTTTTGCGAGTTGGCAAGTAAGTCTAGAGAGCGAGTAAGCGGTCGTGTTGGTTATTTTATACGCAGAAGGCCTTTCTGATTCGATGGACGAATTTATATTCCGTTTATATTACGTCCCCTATTCAAAGTTTAAACTCATATATTTAAGGATTGCACATTATTATTTTTTTTTATATATATATACGTTTTTGGACAGATGCATCTGACGTCTGTACTACAGTACATAGATTATCACAATTTTATATTAGTATAGGTTTCACGTCGTTGATTCGAAGTTGCAGAGTTGCAGACAGCCATACAGCCATATTACCATGTATACAGTGTACASGGTGGCTACGTTGATTCTCTTAACAGTAAACGCTCATTATTTATTTGAACAATACAACTTTAATAGTCGCTTCAAAACTTTATTACCTTATTGAAATTTTAGAAAGATATTTTACTTTGGTATATATAAAATAGAAAATGTATGCTGTTATTCAAATAAGTTAAAACTTCTATTCTGTAACTATGTTTAACAATAATTAAATATTTAATTAAATTAAATAATTTTCAAAAATGTTCATAGTTCTCGAGTTATTTATTAACTGTTGAAGTATTAACCAATTCGTTAGCACTTTATGACATGGTTTGCCATTTGTAGGCTATAACAATGAACTATGAAAAAWTTTTGATTATTATTATCAGTTTTTAATTATTATTGTCGACCAGATTAGCTGTTTTGTAGACTGCAGTCTCGTTTATAATATTATGTACTACGTGGATCTGTAATCTATTATTTTCGTCTTGGACGTCTATATAGTTAAATAATAATTGTTATACCACAAAAATATAATAGGTATACCATTATTTTAATAAATTTACCGTCGCTCGCTCTATATCTGTTCATCGCTCTTATAACTGTTGTCAAAAACTGCCTTTGGCCACAACCCGTTCGCTATATCTACGTAAAAAAAATATGTCGGTTATCTTGTGCGATAAAAAAATTGACAAGCGTGATGGCCCTATGCACCTAACTCCTAGATTCATAATGCCGTAATTATATTGATAATCGCCATTTTCCATCATCCGTAAACTGCTCAGTGTTATACTGTTATATAGTTACGGTGAGCTCTCGTCGTCGATTTCCTCGTTCGGTCTGGTAAATACGCACGCAAGTAAAGATGGCGTCGGTAGATGACTGTGCGTCTGTGCATAATGCGTTTCAAAGCGCGATATATTATATACTTATACGACGCTCACGCAACAAACGAAAATGAAGGTACTTTACGGTCATCGTATAATATTATAGTAGTGCAGCATGCAGTAAATTGGTTCGGAAACAAATTGTTAAAAACTCGTCCGATTTGTTGTTTCATGTGGCGTGTGTCGAGCATACAACATAATAATTAATAATACATCATAAAAATATAATGAAAATCAATATAACTACGCCACCACTAGAATATAATGATAATAAGTATTAACGAAAACAACGACCAGAGCTGCTAACGTGACCCGTAGAACTATGTAGTAGGAATCGCGTTTTTTGACAAGACAAATCGGACGGTGTTCGTTTTCAGCCGATTAACGTGTCGATGCACGAGAGTTAGGATTTTTTTCCACGCAGGATGGTTTTGCCTTTTTTCTCTCTTATCGAACGAGACTATTTTAAACTCGGTTATCATGGCGCATCATTTTCGATTGTTGAACGATTCGCATCATACAATCGCACACACGAGGATTATAATATAATTTATATTTTGATCGTCATCGAACCATCAGTCTTGCACTACGTAGTTTTTGCTCATGTGTGTCTGCCATCGTTTTCAAATGGTGTTTTTAATAATACTCCTAAATTTTTATATACACAGTGTGTGCTGTTCATAATTTAATATTTCTCAAGATAGAATCTCCAGAAATAACCACTACTTTGTGTCTCTGTGTCCGTACTGTTTTTAAATTGATGAAAATGCGTGCTTATCGTCCGTTCTTGGAATTAATAAAAAATTAAATTGAAAATTAAWCCGTTGATATTATTATGTGTATAGTGTATGATAAAGAGTCACTTTGCGTTGAAAAAAAATGCGATTCGCAGCTTAGTGTCTATTTGTCGTTATAATATAGTGTGTTAAATTATTATAATATATACCTTGTAATAACTCGAAATATGATTTAACCAATAAATATTGGTGATAAAATTTTCAATTAATTTAAGGTTAGTCGAAAAACAAAGTTCCAAAATTTTATTTTTCAACTGATTTTACCATCGCTTTCGCCTTTCTAATTTGATAAGTAAACCTCACCCAAATGATTTCTGTCATTTAATATTATTTTACAACTGTAATTTATTTTTTATCACTATCAATCGCTATACTAAGTATTAAAATAAAATCTAATAATCTTGAWTGTATGTTGCAGCCACAAAACCTTGTACTGACTGCTGACTTTCCAAACTGTGATGTAAAACTATGTGACTTCGGCATATCCAGGTACCTCAGCGAAGGCGCTGACGTGCGAGAAATACTTGGCACACCTGACTATGTGGCCCCCGAAGTGCTAAACTACGAACCGATCGACGTGCAAACCGACATGTGGTAAGAAATATGTCCGAGGGTGTTTAACGTTAAGAAACTACKACGCGACATTACCTAAGCTTTATTTATTATATATTTCYTTGATTATMTGCTAAAATGTCTTGTTTTTCTTCGCAGGTCCATTGGAGTCCTATTGTACGTACTGTTGACTGGGTGTTCGCCGTTTGGCGGCGACACAAAACAGGAAACGTTCTGCAACATATCACAATGCAAGCTCGATTTTCCTGAAGATCTATTTCAGGATATATCTGAGGATGCTATTGATCTCATGAAGAAGCTGATGGTGAAAAACCCTAAGTAAGTTGTCCTGGGTGCATAYATGCTTATAAGTACCTAATATAAAATATAAATCTGTTGTTGTGATCAATATAATTTTTAATCAGCGCGATAGAAAWAAAATATGTCATACACTCGTACTTTAGGAATATGATAATATCGATTTGAGAAGAAAAAAACATCCGCCGTTATGTCTGATGATATTCGTCCAACCAGTTATAATATAATATGGAGTAGATAGATACTTGTAATTACTTATTAGTTATTATTAGTATCCGTTCACGTATATTCAGTTATATACGAGTATATTATATAAATTATAGTTTACTCCTAGGGGTTATGTAACCATCGATAAGTGCGATGATTTGAATGAAAATATTATTTTTCATTCTGAATAGATACCTATCGGCTATCCTGTAAAGATAATATTACTTGAAAAAGATGATTGACTCAATTGCAGCAGCAATGCAATAACATAACTAATTGACCAATTATAAACGCGTTTAATTGGAATAAAATAATACGTTACAGAACAGTGAAATCATCGATTTAATCCGATGGGATTTTCTTTTAATACTTAGAATCGACTTGATATGACGTATACGAATTATTACTTTTATATTGCCGTTAAAATTGGCTCTGACGATGACATTTTTATTATTAAAATAAATATATAGTAGTTAGTATTTTCATGTTCCAATTTTCGTTCTTATTTTAAATTATTTGTTGCATAATATGTTTTATGTCTCACAGAAGTTCAACATGGATATATTTTACTTTTTTTCTGTCAATAGTAAATTAATATTTCAAATCGTTATTAGATACCTGTCCTACTCTGGGTCTCTGTTTTACAAATTATATCATGAAAAACCGTTGAAATATTAAATTTAATATCTGGCGTTGTTGATTCCGTCTTAATGTTATGAYTTATATTGTATATATTATGTAGRAACCACACAACTTTTAGTTATAAAATACTACACATTTTCATTTCTATATCGTCATTGAACAGAGTTGGTTATATTTTATCATCCTATTAAATATTTCAGACATTTTGTGAAAGTTCAAAATGTCATCGATTTTCATTTTCAAATAATATGCGTAAACTAATCTTTATCTGACATAGGTACATTAGCTAMACCGATTCGCGTAGGACAACTGCAGTAAAGTGGAGAACGATTAATTTTTTATCCTCATAATTCTTAAACCTTATATAATTATGCAAATCCGAAATTATAAATTATACCACCTATTAWAATATTATTATGATTTGCAGGGATCGCCTCACTGCCAAGGACTGCTTGGAACACGGTTGGTTTCACAGAATGCTGACAACGACGACAGCGACGTGCACGACGCCCTCGAGGATATTCAGTGGACAAGACGGCGGCGGGAGCAGCAGCAGCAACGCGTCCGATTCGTCGATCTGCGCAATAGTGACCAACGCTCTGTCAGACGTCGTGRATCACGTCACTGCCGCCAACACTACCCCCGTGACGACTGCCGTCAAACAACACCACCAACACCAACAACAGCAACAACAACAAACACACCACCAACACCAACAACAACAGAAAAAGTTTGCCGCCCTGTCAAAGAGCTGCGACAACTCGCCCGTTCCGGCGATGAGCGCGTCTCGGCGAAAGTCTTTCAAGGACAACATGGAGTCGCTGGTCAAGCGRTTGGACCGCGAACTGGCCGACAGCTACGAACGGATGGTCAGCGAATCGAATCCGTCTCCTCCACGCACCACCAACGTGGCCGCCCCGTCGGGCCGGACTCTGAGCCGTGCCAACGGCACGCAGACCATGCCGGTCGGAGGACTGGCGCGTGTCGATGGCCGCGACATGGTGCCATTTACTTTCCGCAGGGTGTACGTGGTGGATGAGCCATCGCCGCCACCGTCACCGTCATCTCAGCTACTTCACCACCCGGAATACCACCACCGGCCGCGAGCACCGTCCACGTCGTCGACGCCCAACAGCAGCAGCGCTGACACCTCGTCGGTGAGCGACTGCAGCAGCGATACCGTCAGCGAGTTCTCGATCGATTCGAGCAGCGACCGGTCCAGCATCATATCGCTGGAAGACTCGCTGGACAATCCGTCGTCATCGTCGTCCTCGTCCTCCTCTTCGTCGTCGTCGTGGTGTCGACCGTCATCCGCCGACCTGTTGCGGCAGACCCGGAGGCTGGGTAAAATGTCCGCGTCCTGCTTCAACGTCTGGGACACTTCCGGTGGCGATCGCAGGAAATGGCCTAAGGAGTGCAGCGGCGCCGTGGCCCGGGCAATGTCGCAGTTCGCCAACGGGTGCGGTGACTGCCGGCCGGCCGCTCGACTGCGGGTGTTCGACGACAAGACCGGCGCCGGTGTGGCGAACGGCGTGTCTGGACCGCGGGACAACCGGTGCGTGGGCCTGGAACTGATGCGCGARCGAAACGGCAACGTGGTGGTGATACGCGAGATCAAGGCCAACGGCGGCAGCGGCCGATACGCCCGGTGCAGCGAGCTCAAGTGCGAAACGGTCCAGTCGCGGATACGCAAACTCCAGGTGCATCGCGCTGGACTCGCCGCCCGACCGGCGCTGGACAAGTCGTCGGCGTCGTCGCCACTGTCGTCGTCGGACCTTTTCTGACGGCCAGCCGCCCGAACCTCCGCCGCATCTAGTCCGCAGCAACGACCTTATTGTTATTATTATTATTATTATYATCACACGGTTATTTTTCTGATTATTTTACTAATATTATTATTGTTATTGTCCAATTTGTGGCCGTCACTGTCTTTCTGTTCCCCTTCTTCTACAGACGGCGGTGGCGAGCTCCGAATTCGTTTAGACTCTCATCCCCTCTTGTGCTCGAAAATTGATAATTATACGCGTCTTAGCCTACTCGTTAACTATTAAAATATTATATGRTACTAATAACATTTGAACGTAATACGTTTGTATGATTTAAATTATATTATACGATTCTTCGTCTATTTCCTCTTAAACATTTCAATAGTCTCTTCAAAAACGTCATCTATATATAAACAAGCGTTTATGATTACTATTTATTTTTTTTTTTTTTTACTATTCGAAAACAAATTATGATTTATGATATTATCAGCATTGTGTTTATAATATGAACTGATTTTTGAAAACTATCTGCACATGTATATGTTTTTTCTGATATAATTTTTTTTAA